GTGCAGGGCTTATCAAGTGTCTAACACAGGTAGACAAGGTCTTACTCAGACATTTTTTTTTAAACATAATTGATGATGCATGTTTGTGGGGTACAGAATTGAATATCAACACCAGTGTACAATGTGTGATGATCAATACAGGATAATTAGCATATTTGTCATTACAAAACATAATCATTCTTTATGTCCATTAACCAATTTCTCATTAACGTCCCTCCCCCTCTCCCTTTCCCACCTCTAGTAACCACAGTTCTGTTCTCTCCTTCTGAAAGTTCAACTTTTTATTGTGATTGTTATTTGTTTCTTTGTTTCTTTCTTTTATTTATTTTTTAGCTCCCACTTATGAGTGAGGACATGTGGTATTTCTCTTTCTGTGCCTGGCTTATTTCACTTAGCATAATTTTCTTCAAGTGCATCCAAGTTGCTATAAATGGCAGAATTTCATTCTTTTTTATGGCAGAGTAGTATTCCTATAAACATGTGTTTATATCACATTTTCCTTATCCAATCATCCATCGATGGACATTTAGGTTGGTTCCGTAACTTGGCTACTGTAAGAAGAGCTGCGATGAACATGGGAGTGCAGGTTTCCCTTTGGCATGATGATTTCCATTCCTTTGGGTATATACCCAGCAGCGGGATTGCTGGATCATATGGAAGATCTATCTATAGTTGTTTGAGGAACTTCCATACTGTTTTCCATAGTGGCTGTACTAATTTACATTCCCACTAATAGTGTAGAAGGGTTCCCCTTTTTCTGCATCCTCACCAGCATTTATTATTCTCTGTCTTTTTGATAATGGCCAACAGGACTATTTTATTATTGGCCCAAATACAGCACTTCTTAGGCAGATCTGGGGAATATCAGATGCATACATAGAATGCTCTTTTCTGGAAGGAAGCTGCCAGTCTGGTCTGTTTTCATCAGGGGACTGGAGCTAAGAAGGTGACGAAAGCAGGGAGCTGAGGCCGGGTGTGCGATGGGTCAGCTCCTTATCACAGGAGCCAGAAGTCCCAGCTCTGTCACTAACTGGTAACTGAACAAGCTCCCTACCTTAACCCCTCTGCTTTCTCTCCATCCGTAAACGTGGTGATGTCCATGTGGCTGCCCTCCTGGGCTGCTGTGAAGCACATAGAAGCACATAGAAGTATGCTGGGTCTGCTGCGAGGAGGCTGCATGTATCTCTTATTACGATGATCACCATTAAGGGGGAATGTTCCCAGGAGGGTATGGCCAAGTTCCTACAGTGTGCAGATGGGGGACAAAGTGCCCCTTCCCACAATCACTGCCCTCCAGGAATGCAGCACCTTGAGATAATTAGACCTCCACTTACCTTTCTCTCAAAACAATAATTATATCTGCAGCACATGGTTAACCACTCTGAGAAAATGAGGAGAAAGTGAGACCTTTGGCTGACTGCTCAGCCCCCAAGTTCCAAGTCACCACCCGATACAGGCTTTGTGGCTTCTGCCCACTCCTGGATAAAACTGATCTAGACTGGGAAGTGACTGTCTTCCTTGGGAGAGGTGAGGTTGCTGTCTTGGAGGGTGCCAACCTCAGAGGTGCCAGGGGGTAGGCCCTGGGTCTGGGCCTCCATCCATCCTCATGGCAGTGAGCAATGCAGTTGGCTCTGGTATAGACGGGGCACTGATGGAGGCCAGGGTCCCACCTCTTTGGCCCAGAGAGAGACCCTCTCCCAATCACACCCACTTCCGGAAAAGATCTGTCTATCTGGGGGTTAAGGAACACAGTTGCCAACAGTGCTACTGCTCCCCACCCTTGTCCCATTCCCCTGGGGATACTCCTTTGTTCTCAGGCTCCGGATCTGTCTATCTGGGGGTTAAGGAACACAGTTGCCAACAGTGCTACTGCTCCCCACCCTTGCCCCATTCCCCTGGGGATACTCCTTTGTTCTCAGGCTCCGTGGTCAGGAAGTGGAGGTGCTGAGTATGTTTACACAATGTCCTCACACTCTCCCCAAATGTGAAGTCAGGAAGCCTGTTTTACACATTGGCAGGTTCTTGAAAAGAAGTTTTGTTTTCTTGGCAAGGAAGATTGTCTTTGTCTCCAATTTGGCACTTAGGAACGTGCTGTCTCCAGAGTGCTTGGGCGTCAACAGCTTTTGAGTTGGGAAGAGCTGCTTCCAAGGTGGTATTTAAGTCAGGCATTGCAAGCAGCCTCAAGCAGCTGGTAGTTTATTCAAAAGTGGGGGCTATGTTTGGGTGACAGTTTGTCATGTGATGGACACAACAGTTTGTGAGACCTGTTGCCTGTCACTAGATTTTTTACATATCCGAAATCTTTCTGCAAATGCAACCTACTTTTCTTAAGAACTCTGGATATTCTTAAGTAGGACATCATAACTCAAGAGGCCATTGGAAACCCTCTACTAAACAGCCTAAAGGCTATTTTTCAGATAAACTCGATTTTATATACAGTTATACCCAGGAATATATGTCTGATTTTGGCCAAGTCAACATTAGATTTTAATGTTAGCCATGAATATATAAGCCACTGCCAAATATTAGAAAAATGTACAAAGTTTACATCCTCATCATGAAATTAGCAATGTGATTAATGGCAAATAATTACTAGTACTTTTAAGGTTTGTATGTAGATAGGACATACTCTAGGCAAAGTTAAAGAACAAATCCTCTTTCTCTGATCTTTGTACTATGAGGGTACTTCAAAAAGTTCATGGAAAAAAGAATTAAAAGATAATACATTCTTTCCATGAACTCTTTGAAGTATCCTCAGGCAGATCAATTTCTCATTTTCCCTTTAATTTTAGCATGGGATTTTTTACATAAACAAATTTTTGTAATTTGTTCATTAATTATTGAGCAGACACAAAAGAATTATTATAAAATATGTGTATGTTGTAAAGGATAATATTACAACAGACACCTTATATTCACTAATATTTAAGAAATAAGACATTACCATTACCTGTGACATCTATGTGTCCTTCCCAGATGCAATCACCTTTTCTGCCCTCTAAGAGGAAAACACTGACCTAAATTTTGAATTTCTGTGATTTTCTTCATAGTTTTACCATATATGTTGTTTAGTTTTGTAGTTACTCAAACCATAACAGGAATATATAATAGAAATAATTGTAACTGTATTCTGCTACAACTTGCTTTTTTATTCCCCTGAAGCTGAGATCCCTGAGACTCTTTCAGGAGTCTTTGTGGCTGTAATTCATTCATCTTCATCACTGTATAGTATTTCATTACAGAACCACGCCATGACTCTTTTATCCCATCTCCTGTTGCTGGGCATTTTGGCTGTTCCAGTTTGCAGTATATATTCCTCTACATGTCTGCAGGTGCACATTTATGAGAGGTTTTCATTGTATCCCTAGGGGTTAACTTTTCAGGTCAGAGGGTATGTAGATCTTCAGCCTTACTACATAAAGCCACCTTGTTTTCTTAGACAGACAAAAGTTTTGCATTTTTATGTAGTCAAATGTATCAGGTGTTTTTGGTAATTTCTTTCTTTGGCTTTCACTGTACTTATAAAGTCCTCCCATCCCAGGTCCAATAAACGTTCATATATGTTTAAGAAAGAGAGTGCAAAACCAATCGCTGTCTGTTTTCTTTGCAGATATATAACAAACTGAGCATAGTGGAACACATGACTGTCTACGAGAAAGAAGCCATACCAAGCAGGTTCTATTACAAGAAAGGGAAATTCGTCTCTCCTTTGACTTTAGTGGCCGATGAAGGATGGTTCATAACTGAGGTAATTATAGATATCTGACATTTTATTGATCATACAAATTCTGTCAAACAACCCAAAGATAAGTGATAATTATTCAGTTTTTACAGGTAAAGATTTTTTCACTTAAGTATCATTCATTGGGTAATTTCCTTCTTTAGGGAATAAAAAGGCTTGATCAGGTGACTTTGTAGACACAAACTATAGACGTGAACCCAGAGTCACGGTTTAGACTTCATGGCTCCAGACTCGCTGTATTTTAGCAAACAGGCCTTAACTCAATTACCCAGGTTTACAATGTAACCCATTCAGTTTAAAGTGGAACAATTACTGTGAACCAAAGCAGTTGCTTCGGGGCAGTCAAAGCACGGAGAGGCTCAGCTTTGCTTCCACCTTTATGAGAAATATTGGCAAACAAAACTCCACAGATCCTGGTCTCCAGTTTGCCAACTTGATTTTACAGAGGAGATTATCTTGCATTTTTGGTCCAAACCTTAATTGCTGCATGCCTGAATGACTTCAACATCCTCCTCCCTGTCTATTGGGATTCCAAGCTCACCAGGCTCAGTATGAGCTTATGGTATTGGGCCATGGTGGGAAGGCCCTGCCCTTCGGAATCCATGGTCATGTCATGGTTAGGATCAATTCCCGAAGATGGCATGGGTTATTTGAGATATGAATTTGAAGGGGGATTGCAATTAGATCAGCCTACAGGGTAAAAGAGAGTGGCACATGAGAGGTGGTTGAGGCCAACTAAGTATTATACCTAAGACTAGTAAGTAATCCACCCGAGAGTGGGCAGCAGAAATACTGATTAGGGAGATGCGTGGGAGTCCAGGGACCTGGGCATGGAAAAATGGGGTTCTGTGAACTTTGGTTATTTGGGAGGACTGAATTGTTCTTATGGGCTCCATACGAAGAGAAGCAGCTGGTCACTGAGGAACTGAGAGCAAAGCAGACCTTGTTATAAGTGTCAACTGAACAGTGCATAGGTGAAGCCAGGCCCTTCTTCAGCAGACTATGGCTTCCTGTGCCACGTGATTTATATGGTCTCCAAGAGGGTCCCTTGCCCCTTAATGCTCTCTCCCCTATAAACCAGAATGCTTCTCTTCACTTTGTTATGCTATTTTAGGTTCCCCTGGAGTGAAAATGTTTTAGACTTACAGCATTGTCATTTATAGGGGTTTTTTTCAGAGCCTGGCACACACATAGTCAAGTGGGCCACCTGGGTATGTGTCTATCCAAGTTTATTCCATTAGGACAACTTTCCAAGTTGCACAAAAGGGCTGGCTTTTTGAACTTTTTTCAATGTGTAAAATTCTGGAGGAATTGCTTCGAGCAAATAAACTTCGAGGGTTAATCCACAGTTACCTATCACTCATTTCATAGCGTGACTCTGTATAGCCATTGTTTACTTTCTCATATTTAACTGACATCAATGCAGCAAGAGGCTGGTTCACGGTAGGGAGGGAGATTATAAGAATACAGAGGTGATTTAGGGTAATTTGATGGAAAACAGGCTTAAGTAGAGGAGGAGCAAAGCCAGAGGTCACCACAGAGACACCGTACAACTAATGAGATGCCATCTCAGTTCCAGTGGGAGAGGCCCTGGATGCCTCCAGCAGGGTGGGACAGGTGCTGTGGTGCTGCTCCAGCCAGGGGTCCCTTGGGTGAAGGTTTATTCTGGAAAGTGACTATGGTCTTCTGGCAGAAGGACATCCAGCAAGAAGATGTAGGTCTTCCTAATGAGTGACTAAAACACAGTGGTGGTTGACCTACGGATATCAGTTAAGATTCTCTTGGTCTAAGTCAGAGACCATTTAAATAAATGTGGCTTAAATACTAAAGATTTATGATCTCACATAACTAGAAGTCTGGAGGTGGTTAGTTCCAAGGTTGCTTAATCCAGCAATTCAACGACATGAAGTCTTCGAGTCAGCTGCTCTGCAATTCTTTTGGCTTTCCTTTCAAGGTCACAAGATGGCTGCTGCAGCACCAAACATCACATCCCCTCAGAACATCCCCAAGCAGGAAAGAAGGGGTATGGCTTCTCCTTGCATGGCTCCTACTCTTAACAGAGAGCAAAATATAAATATGAGAGTCAGGGGCAGATGCAGGTTTTGTGAAACTCTGAAGACTATGGAATTTGGGTTAGGGGAACCTCTGTTTAAGAAAAGAACACATAATTATGAATGCAAAATTAAGTACAGGGACTCAGGTTCTTCCTATGAAAGTGAGAAGCCCTGATGTTTAAACTTCTTTAACTACTAACTTCCTTGTATGTCTCCTGGGTGCCTAGAAAATTCCTGGCCTGGGTCAACTTTGGTCCTGAGATCTGGTACTGTGCTGAAATGCAGATCAGGGGGTCACAATCACAAGACAAAAGTGATACAGAGGCTGGGAACTAGGCAGACAGGGCCCCCGAAACCAAGAACAGCAAAGCAGAAGTGAGAGGAGAGCAAAGACAAATAGCACCATCTCCAGCGTCTTAACTGGCGGCAGCGCACTCGGGAAGCCCAGTGCCAGGTCTGAGGACGCTCCTGCCCTGCCTCCGCACCTCTGCTCCACACTCTGCTGAGGGTCCCAGTACTGCTCCCCCGCAGGAATTTGGCAAATTAGTGTCTTCTGAGGGGGGTACGCCATATGGTTGTTGTACATATTACATTATATATTACTTTTGTGTGATTTGTACAAATACACACACAGAGTTTAAAACTCCATTCTTTATCCTGTTCCTGCTCTGTGCCAGGGCTATTAATCTCTCACATTCCTATTTGCAAAATTTCTTCCCCAAATGGCTAAAGAACGTTGTGTTTTGCGTTATAACCTACATGCCAGTCCGCAGTGCATGTGATCATGTTCTCGGGCTTGATCTCACTTCACATCTGCAGCATGGCAAAACTCTCAGCCCTGAAAGCAATCTCGCTGAGTCTGAGTTTAGATGACAGACAAGACTGTGTTCTAGTTTAGACATGATTAGGAAAACAGCTGAGTCAGGATAAGTTGATGCTGGGTGGGTGCCAATAAAATAGAAACCTATTCCTTCTTCCTTTCTCCCTACAGCCCCCGTCCCATAAATATGTAAGACTTGGCCTCTTTGGTAAAAATGCCATTCCCATATAAACACTAACTTTCCACCACCAATTTAAGCTTTGCAGGCTCTAAGGCAGCTGTTCTAATAGAAAAAGTTAACTGAGTTCACTTTTTCTTATGGTTGCTTAGAAAGCTGTCACTGAAAAAGATAGAGACAGGGAAACAGATTTAATTTGTCACCTGGAATTGCACAATTTTCCAGTGTGACTGCTGATGCTGCCATAGAAAAGCATGCTCTCTGCCCAGTGGCTGCCTACTTCATTTCTGCTCCTGCAGTTTTTAATATAGAGACTGGATTTCCAATGGCTGTCAGTCCTTTCCCTGGCCTCCCCTCCTGATAGGGCAGAAACCTGAAGGTGTTCATTTTCCCAGAGGACTAAATATGAAAAGGAAACAAAACAAAACAGGCCACCTATGTAAGCCAGCCAAGCCTGTCACAGCAGCCAAGCTCCTTTCTCCAAGGACAAGAAATAGGGCTTCCTAACTGATGCCTACCTTCTCTCTCTCTCTGAGACCTGGTCAGTGTCCTCTGGAAAGCCTCTTCATTGCTTCTTCCTGCCAGGGGATGAGAGTCACACTTCTCTAGAGCATTGGAGTCCAGCACAAGTTGGCTCCACTGTCACTCACTCATGCTCTACTGGGGTTCTCAGCTGGCCACCCTGCCACTCCCTCCTCCAGGGGACTCTTGCTTGGAAATGGGCTGGTGCAGATTAGGTTGTCGCAATGTCCATGGAGGTCCAGGGACATTTAGGAGCCAGGTTCAGTGATGCTAAATGTCCTTGGTATATGGGATAGTTAGGAACAAAACAGCAAAATGCAAAGTGGACAAATACTGTGGGTAGTTTCCACCAAACTCAAGTATACTCTTCCATCCTGAACCGTGAAGCCCATCTGCCTCAGTGATCGTCTGTCCAGCAAACTCAGCAGGTATTTGTTGAGTGCCTACTACATGTAACGTACCCAGCAAAGTTCTAATTCCACAGTGGGGGGCCACTGGGAGTCCCTGCCCTCCTGGGGCTTACAGCCTAGTGGAGGAGCCATATAATAAACTAACATGCATGCCATGCAAATAAATGAATGTGCAATTACCAAATGTGTTAAGTGCTATAACGGAGAGAAGAGTGCTATGAAAGAGAATATCTGGGAGGAGAGGGAACCCAGTTTGGATGAGAAAGTGACCTTGAGGCTGAAGCCTGAAGGATGAGTGGTCACTAATCAGGCAGGAACTTGGGGGTTGCTCTCCAGGCTGAGGGAATGAGATGCTTGAAGAGCCTGATGCTGGAAAGAGCTTTGAGAATTAGAGGAATTGAAAGAATGGACCAGGTGGCCAAGTGTGGGAGCAAGGAGATAGAAAGTGGCATGGGATGAGGGTGCCCAGGTGAGCAAGGGCAGGGCCAAGCCAGGCCCTGGGAAAGACATAGTATGTCACCTTGAGTCCAGTGAGAAACCGCGGGGAATTTTAATAGGGGAGGCTCATAATCCACAATCTTCAGGGTGATATGATTCACAGCTCATGGAAAAAACAACATTAAAGAACTGAGGACATGAACAGTTCCACAAAACTTCTTATATTTCTTATGTTCACCCACTAACTAGAGAGACTATCAATGTTTTCCGATACACCCGTAATAATACCACATGCTGTAAAAAAGTAACCTTTGTATTATTAGAAACTTTAGAACGAGCTCACGACTGCACCCCAAATAGTTTCAATGACATAGGCATCAAGTTATTTTATACTTTGCAGATAATAAACGTGTCAAGAAAGACCTATTTAAAAAAAATTTTGGTTTCAATGACATAGGCATCAAGTTATTTTATACTTTGCAGATAATAAACGTGTCAAGAAAGACTTATTTAAAAAAAAATTTTGGTCAACAACAACAACATTAACAATAATAGCTATCTTGAACTAAGTACCTCCTGGTTTC